ACTTCAATCCTCCCAAAGCAAGCTTCCTAGTCTGAATTTCAAAAAAAGCCAGAAGGCGTTAGTGATCTAAAGGAGAAAAGGAATCATACAGAGAAATTTGGGAGAGAAAGGAGCTCACAGACCCAGAGTCCTTCTCTCTAAAACTTCTCTCTAAAAACTCATTCTCCTCAACTGCCCCCAACCCCTATTTATAGACATTCCAGAGTGGCCAGAACGGCCTGTACCGAAATCGGAACGGCCCGTTCTGCACTCCCTCAACACGTACAAAAACCACATGCAGAACGGCCCGTTCTGAAATCAAAACAACCCGTTCTGGAACTCATCCAGAACGGCCTGTTCTCCATCCAGAATGACTCGTACTCCCTTCGAAAAGACCCGTTCTCCATCTAGAATGGCTCGTTCTCCCTCCGGAACGGCCCGTTCTCCCTCCGGAACGGCCCGTTCTCCATCTAGAACAGTCCATTCTCCCTCCAGAACGGCCCGTTCTCAACTACAACTTACAGGTCAATTTAATAGCTTGGAATGGCCCGTTCCAAATTGGGAACGGCCCGTTCTAGGCTACTAAATCACCTATATTGAGCTTTCTACAACAACTTGCTACGTTACACAAAACACAGTGAGTCATTTTATGGCTAAAATCGAGACATATTCAACTTTCCAAGCACCATGTCCACTCAAACAAAGCCAAATCCAAAAGGAGGAGGTCAATGTCATCTCTTTGAGGAGTGGGAAGAAGCTGTCTCCACCTCTTGAGAAAGAGAAATCAATCTTTAAGCCCAATAAGTTGAGGTCCCTATTGAGAATAACCCTTCTGAGATGGAAGTTAGAGGTAAAATAACCACTGCCAATGAAAGAGTATGTGTTCCCTTTCCACAAAGAATAAAAGATAAGAAGGGGATAAACAAAATGCAAAATTTATGGAGTTACTTAAAATGCTACATATTAACAACCATTTTGTTGAAGTCATTTTCAAAATGCTTAAGTACACAAAGTTTTTAAAAATAACTTATTTCAAATAAGAAGAAATTGAAAAAATTTGAGGTAATTGGATATAATGAAGACTGTTATAATGTAATCCTTAACAAGTTACCTCTTAAGCATAAGTACCCTGAGAGATTTACAATTCTTTGTACAATTAACAACCATCATTTTAAGAAAATGCTTTCTGATTTAGGGGCAATCCTTAATTTGATGGGCTTTATCTATTTTTAAAGGCTAGGGATATCTAAACCCCAACCTACTGATATCACTCTCTAACTTGTTAACAGATTAATATTCACATATCCAAAAGGAAGTCCCTATCATCTTGGGACGACCGTTTCTATATACTTCACAAGTCCTTATAAATGTATCTCATGGCAGACAGGTAGTGAGACTAGAAGAAGAGGAGGTCACCTTCAAAGTTTTAAATCCCCTAGTAAACAAAACCCTTCCACTTCCTATCAAGAGGCAAAAGTGGTGAACTTAATAGGAGATACATTGATCAAGCCGAATAGCCTTTGTCAATTGATTCAATAAACCTTATGAAACATTAACTTAACAAACCTTTGCACTATGAAATTTCTAAGTTAATTATGATGTTTGACAAACTTTAGTCTATTAATTGTGAACTCAATTGCATAATTCTAAAACTTAACACAACAAATTCTTGATGTTTTGGAAAACCTTTTACTTTGATGAGTAATGATTTATCTCTCTTTTGCTTGATAGCAAGTAAAGTTCAATGATCCTATAGAATTAATCAAGCCTGACAAACTCTGTTAAAATTATGAACTAAAGAACGACAGTAATAACACTTATGACTATGAATAGGATGCGAATTATTAGTCAATGTTCCAAGCCTTCAATCCTAATGCTGATTATTTAATTAACTTAATAATTATTGAAATTAAATAATAATTAAATTTAAGAAAGATATGTGAGAAATACCAATAAAATCAACCATGGACATTTTTTATTATAAATTTTCATCTATCTTTCCAAACTGTTTTCGTATTTTATATAATCTTAAAATATGTTCTTACTTTTAATGCATTCTTCAAACATATTTAATTGTGTGCCTACAGTGTCGTGGTACAACCTTTCCTTAGAGCGGAGGCTATGAGATCTAGTATGGGCTGTATGGCTGCTAAGCCTCCGTAAGGTACGGCGAGTGTGGCTGCTGTGGTGAGACAGGAGCTCCGTCGATGTTTCAATTTTGACAAAGGGAAAACTGTTGCATGTGGGCACTCAGAACTTTTCTAGTTTGAAATTTGATTCTGAAATTCATTATGGCCTTGACCCCTCTTCTAATATTGAGGACCCATCTGTAGAATTGACGAAGCTTTTGTAGTATTGCAAGACCATACGAAATCGATTGTTGCATGTGGCCACTCAGAACTTTTCTAGTTTGAAATTTGATTCTGAAATTCATTATGGCCTTGACCCCTCCTCTAATATTGAGGACCCATCTGTAGAATTGACGAAGCTTTTGTAGTATTGCAAGACCATACGAAATCGATTTTTCTATTTAATACTTGATTTTAAAGGTGTTTATACATAAATTTGGTAGAACAAAATCAATAGATTTTGTAAACTCGAAATGACTGATTTTGTAAACTTTTTTCACTAGTGTTATTTTTAACATAAAATACGTCTTCTAGTATTTTATACAGGATGATAAAATTATTCATATTCACGAGTATATGTCTGTAATAAAATTTGTTATAATAAATAGATAATCTAAATGAATATTTATATATAAATATTTTTATTCATTTATCAACGGAGAGGGTACGGATATGATATGATAGTATACATATCCAGGAATATCAGTTAAATAATATTACTTAAATATTTATATTTTTATCTTATATTTTATATATTATTTTTAATATTTTAAAAAATATTATTAATTACAAGTTCAAAAATTAATATTAATTAATTATTTTTAATATTTTAATATACTTATCATTAAATATAAGTTTTAAATTATTTATAATATTTTTTAAATTTTAAAAAAATTCATAAATATTTATGGATACGAATTTATAAAATTTACAAATGCTTGCTTAACAGATATCTCACATATGAGACGAGTACGAGATGAATTTTTAATTGAGAGGACATGTATAAATACCCACACCCATGAGACCATATCACCATCCGTAATTCTACAATTGACAATTAATAATAATAATAATAATAATAATCTTTCATTGTTAAATAATAATAATAATAATTAAATATTAAGTACTATTTTAATATTCGATTAATACTAATCTATTATTATAATTAAAATAATTTAACTTTAGATTTTATAAAGTTAAAAGATTAAAATGACCAAAATTTACAATTTCATGAAGGAAATATAAGGCCAAAGGCGGAAAAGGAAAGAGAAACCATTCAAACTTTTGCTTGAAATTTAGTTTATTTCATTTTATGGATTTTTTTTCGACTTACATGTAAATAATTTAGCACATGACTATTAATAAGTACATAAAACACCAGTTGGCACAATACTAAATATACATTTAATACCAATATACCCGAAGGAACTATATACATGTAATATTCAATATAAATATATATGAATAAAAATAACATCACCAATTTTAAAATTTCATGAATAAATATTGAAAGAATCAAGTTCAGCAATTTCAACATTTCAAGTATTAGAATGAGGTTTATTGATATAAAATAAAATGTTGTATATATATGTTATGAAAATTTCAGAAATTGTAAAAATTTGCTTTCGAAATTGGTGGAGCAAAATATAAGATTTAGTCTCGCATTTCACAAGTCGCAAATTTGTTTTGTTTTTTTTGTTGTCTCGTTCGTTGTAGTTGAGTTGAGTAATATACAAACTATTGATTAGTCAACGAGTTATAAGTTCGAGATATTTGTTTTATTAGTAGAAATTATAAAAATATAATATATTTTAAATTTAAGATTTTGTACATGTTTTTTTTAATCTCTACCATTAAATAAGCACGAGATATTTATTGACTTTATTATAAAATAAATGTTAAATATGTTTGCTATGAAAATTTAATGAATTGTGAAAATTTGTTTTCGAAATTGGTGGAGCAAAATAAATAATTTGTGACACAACATACAAGTCGCAAATTTAAATTTTTGCTCGTATCTTTACATGTAGAGTTGAATAATACACAAATTTTCCTATATTTTATTTAGTAATCATATTATAGGTGTGAAATATTCTTTTTTAATAATAAAAATTATAAAGATAATAATAAAATTTAAATTTAAGATTTTATATATATTATTCTCACTCGTTATTATTATTATTATTATTATTATTATTATTATTATATACATATGAGATATTTTATTAATAAGAATTATAAGGATGACAACAAAATAAGAATTTAAAATATATGCATACTATTCTAACTTTTATCATTATACAAGTAGAAAATATTTATTAACTTTATCAAATATTAATCTTTATAAAAAAATTTGTCGACCATATTTAATGAAATCTGAATTTTTAGTCACGTTTTTTTCATTAACATAATTAAAATTTAATATTTTAGTTCCAAAGTTTAATTTCAATCTCAATCGAACTTACTACTTATGTGATATACTACCTCTTATTTCTTATATAAAAAGCTATATATGTTTATTGATTTTGCAAGAAATATTTGTTAAATTTGATGAATTAAAAGGAAAAGAAAGTGAAGTAAAGACTTAAGGGAAGAGTGAGAGAAAGCGAGTGGCAAATAACAGAACACACCAATGGCGAAACCAGTGTTGTTCTCGTCCGCATGTATGGAACCTGGTCCCACAACCTCGTACGGTTCACTACTGTCACCATCGGATACATCAACGACGTGTCTCTCTCCAACAATCCTCCATCGACAACGCATCGTACCCACCCAATCACCAATCGACACCGCATTGTACTAACCCCAAACCTCGTTGCTCTCTCTCTCTATTTCTTTTTATTATTATCATAATTTATATTATTATTATTATTATTATCCTTCTACTTTTCTTCTCCGTGGAAACTGTCTACACTTTACAACCCCTTAGCACACCACAGAAATAGAAAGATACCCTACGCTATATATGCCAATTCATACGCACCCACCACTTTCGCTTCTGCTTCTTTTCCTTCTTTTCCTTCTTTTCTCTTCCTTTAGGTATTCTTGCACTCTCTCTCTCTCTCTCTCTATTCTCTTGGCTCCTTCTAGGGTTTCCTTATTTGTGTGCTGTGTTTCCTTCGCTTACCTCTCTACTCTCTTAATTGGGAAAGGTTGCTGTTGAAGATGGGGAGAGGTAGGGTTCAGCTGAAGCAGATCGAGAACAAAATCAACCGCCAAGTCACCTTCTCCAAACGCAGAACAGGATTGCGCAAGAAGGCTCATGAAATCTCTGTCCTCTGTGATGCTCAAGTAGCACTCATTGTCTTCAACTCCAAAGGAAAACTCTTCGACTTCTCCTCTGAATCCAGGTTCTTCTCTCTCTACCTTCATCTTTTCTTATACTACAACGTTATTTTTTTATTTTTTCTCTCTTTCCTTTTTTGCAATCCTACGTTACGTACTTCCTTAGATATGTGTATATATTTATATATACCTACGTAATATGGTAAATCTCTCTAAACCAGTTATTTAATTATATATTCTTTTTACTTCATTTTTCTTTTACCTTTATTTTTTACTCGCTCTATAGCTTGCTGTAAAGTCAAACTGAAATATTACTCTACGAGGTTTTAAAGTATTGGTCATAGATGCAGTTTCGTCACTGTCTTCGATGTTGCAGGAAGTTATGAACAAAAAAGGAGATTACACGTTGACTCTAAAAATACTTTGACATTACCATTCAAATTAAGCAGACTATTTTCAGAACCTTGCTTCTCAATTTTTGGCCAAAAAGATGAAATAGTGGCGTTCAGATTTCCTAGTTTGTTCTACTTTTTTTCATTTTTTTTTGTCTTATTATGGTCTAATGCATATTACCTTTACACAGACCAACCACTCATATATAATGGAACTATGGAGGTTTTATTATATATAAATATATATTACTTTTTGTTAAATGTGTCTATATATATATACTTTATAAAACTCTATAGTTCAATATACTTTCTAGTGAAGACAGTGCGTTTACCGGCTCAAAAAGATTTAATATGTCTTATTAATATTATATAGTATCATGCTGAGTGAGTTATAATATGTTGCATATATTCTTGGTACCTGTGTATTTATATATTATATACTTTACTATGTAATTAATTTGTCTTGTTAGTTGTTATTTCTTTATAAATAAACAAATCCACTTACAAACAAAGAATATTGACAGCATCCTAGAGCTCCAGGTTATTTTGACTGCTGTTGCTGTCTTTGCTTTTGTATAGAGAAGGGAAGTTACATATTAAATAGTATATAATATAAATTGTGGGAAGAAAAAGTGAAGAGGTTTGGGATTTTTTGCAGCATTAGTACCATAGATATGAATATCAACTATTATTTACACGTTACATTTTTATAATATTATTCTTTATCCCTCGTATCATCGATTTGTGTTACACTTCTCACTTTTCCTTTCTTTCTTAGTTCTCCTTTGTGCACAAAAAAATGTGTATATATTTAGTATTCAAATACAGTTTCTTAACTGAATAAAGGATTCTGTTCTTCTGGTTCGTATACAAAAGATGCATAAGGCGTGCAGATTGAGACACTTTTTCTTACGCAAAACACACAAACATACACATGTATATAAACAACCAATCAGTATCATTTTATATAGTAATAACGTTTTGGCATAAGAAGCATTTCCCAACGGATCTTTCTAGATACTCGTGAATTTAATTACTATCATATATTTTATGAAAATTTTAAAGTTTAATTTGTTATCATAATTATAACAACTAATCGTTGCACCAAAATCTCCCATATCTCCTTAATTATTAAATACGAAAGCAAGCAAAAGGTTAAATGTTGTCTATTTTTAAACACGTTTTGTTCTGTTTAATTTTTCAAATCCCGAAAAATAAAACATTGGATCGTCGGAATGTTGCTAGGAAGCTTAACAGACATGCCATAAGTGGATAAAAATGGTTATATATGTGATTATTTAGCAGTTTGGTATACTTTCCTTGATTAATCAAATTCTGTAATACATTCCCCATTTCTAATAGAGAATTGTTATAGTCTCCGAAGGAGATTCCGAATTATCTTCCAAATAATTAAAATATTAATATTTTTAATAAATTTATTATAAAATAATTATTTAATTTAATATTTTATTATTTAAATTATTTTTTTAAGAATTCGGAACACGATTCGGTGGATTCATTCGGAACCTCCAACATTTTTCTTTCTAATAATTTGAATTCAGAGAACTTTGTCAATATTCTAGCGAAATATGTGTACCTTGCTTAAAACATTCTTGGAATTTTGGAAACCGTGTCAAATATTAGTTTTTGGTTTATGATTGGAGCAACTTTGTTTTTGTTGCTTGACATTGGTTTCAAACGGACCAACTCAAAATGAACCATCTTTAAGTCACTTGAAAAAAGGCTGGTTCTAACCCGTATTTTTATTGGGTTACAAGTTCCAACTCAAGCTGTAGTGGGTTCGTGAGTTGAGTTGGATTAATCCATTAAACAATTAATATATTTTATTTATTTATTTATCTTATGTTTTAAAAACAATTACTATCTAATAAAATTATAAAAGGGGAAAAAGTTATAAAACTCATAATGAATTAAGTTATTCAAATATTTAACTAGATGTGTTTAATGAGTTTATCAAGAATAATAAAATAAGTTCATTAACAACATTAAAATAAGTGTACAATGCATATAAATGAGTTTATTAATATATAATAATATAATAAGTACAAAATATAATCACAAATATCCGTAAGTCTTAATAAATAAATGAACCTTAAACTTAAAAAATCATAAATTAATGCCAATAGCTAAAAAATGAAAGAATAATTTTAATCTAACTCCATTTAATCCATTGGGTTAAGTGATTGATGAGTTTGAGAGCTGAAACTCAAGTTAGCCTATTTAAGCAAGTTATACGACTTAACATGTTGGGTTAAACCCATTTTAACATCATTGGGCTTTTCATATATCCTTGACCTTGTTCAATACTAATAAGATTCAATTGAGTATAGTGCCCTTGGTGTGTTGGTCGTTCGGGTAGGGATGTTGTGGTATAAAAAATGTGGCAAAATATACAACATACAATATTCAATAATGGTGAATATTTTTATTCTTCTCCTTATACGTGTAACAAATACAACAGAAGAATTACTTTAAGATGAACAATTAAAATCAAAATTTATCTAAAATAATAAATAAGAAAATAATAAATCTTTAATTTTAAGATGAATAATTAAAATAAAAAATCAATTAATGGTCACTTGTATCCACTAATTATCAATGTTCATTATTCTCATTTCTTACAATAGCTAAATATTTTATAAGAGTAGTTCCCAAGTTATGTAAGGTTCTTGTGTTGTAGGTTTCGGTTTCAAATCTAGAGAACTGTTTGTGTTCGTCAATATTCTCAACACTGATGATGTTCCTAGAAACGCATCTAGTGCACTAGGTCTCTTTTTGTGTGGGCATATATTACATAAATAGCATGTCTTGTATTTTACGGGGTTCCTAGAAGGTATCTCCTTGAACACTGATGATGTTTATCTACCCATAATAGGATGAGTTTGGGGTCAAAATAGAATAGATATGAAGAAAAAAAATAGAAATACTACCAAAAAAATAATTGTCATGTAGTGTAGTGACACTTGTTTAAAAATGATATAATATTTATCATTAAAAATTACTTTTATCTATATTATAGATATAATATATATAAGTATAATGTTAAAAAATGTAAGTATAAACTATAGTAATACACAAAATATGTTATTGAATGTTATTTAAAATCAACATTAAAATTATGTATAAATATATATCTAACATATTTATACTTATATATATTATATTTATAATGATACTTTTTGTATGTTTATATAATATTTGTTTATAGTGAAATAAAAGTGATACATAAAATAAATGATGAAATAAAAATTGAAGAGAGATAAAATGAAAATGAAAGGGAAGATAAATGGAAAATAGGTTTTTTTCCTGACTCTTTCATTTCATTTTATTTCATTTGTTAGCTCCTCTGTGAATTTGGCACCCTTTCTCTTTCATACACAAAGTTAGCTGGAGTGAAATCAATGGTTCATAAAAGACCATGTACTAATGAATTGGAGTCTGAAATTTTAATATCCCCTACTAACTGCACCTTTATTAATTAATCAGACAGAAAAAGAGACATAAATAAGTTATTATTTCAATCTTTCGGAAAGTACGTTAGCGGGTACTGATAATTAATGGTTGGGGGGTTGTGTGTGTGTGTGTTTGGTTTTGATTTATTAGAGAATGCGGAAGAAAGAGAATCAAAAATTAAAAAAAAAATGTGTTAAAGGGATAATTTAAGTAAGATGCTGAATCACTACTTCAACTCATAAAATTTGTTTCTTAAATACATGGTCACAAGTTCAAGCATGTAGTTAAGAATTAGATCATTAAATCCTCATACTCCCATACAAGTATAGAAAAATATCTATAGAGAGAACTGAGAAGCAAACCTCAAAATTTTGATAAATTAGTCCTTTACTTTGGTCCAAGAGATTCACAGATTTCAAAAAAAAAAAAAAAAAAACATGTGGCTCCGAGAAATCATGTATGAAAAGATCACCTGAGTTTTTGGTGTGGACAGAAGATGAAACATTGAAAACCTTATTAAGTGGCACGTGAGGCAGTAGCTAGGTGGCCCTCTTTGAGAAAGGTGCAAGCATGGTAAAGAGAGTGTTCTTCACAACAACACTAACTGCTTCTGCTGATCATTGTCTGAGAAGCATTTACGTGCGTGGAGGGCCCTCTCTGCAAGGCAAACTGCATTCCTTCTGTTGCATGTTCTTAAACAACGCGTCATTGCATTGTATAGGGTTAATTCTTCTCTATTAACTCATCAGTCACCACCACGTACATTAAAACTTTGTGTATAAATCTGCACCTCCAACTACTACAGTTCGGAGGGCCCTCTGTGGCTCAGCTCCTTGGAGGTAATCTACCTTTGTTGATGCTTAAGGCACTGTTTGGAGGTCGATTCTATTATGCAGAAATTAAAATCATGTTGGGAGGGACTTTAATGTTCTGAGTACTACTCCCCTCCCTTTATATGGAAGGGCAGCTTTTGCAGCATGTTAAGCTCTCATTTAAATCTTCGTACATGTGTAGGCATAATAAGACAAAAAAATAAAATTAAAATTAAAATTGTGTACATGATAAATGTTTGAGAGATACTATTTGACACAGAAATTAGCAAGTGGTGTAAGAGTTAAGACCATTAAATGTCCATGATTATATAATATATATTTAAATTTATTAATTTACAAGAAAAAACTATTAACATTTGATTATGTGTTATTCAAGACCAGTTAAAATCATCTAAGTCAGAACTGCTTAATGATTTTTCTTTTTAAACACTCTTTTACTAAAAAGTTGGTGAGTTATACGCCGTTTAATGAATCTCTCTCATTATTTTGTAATTTTCATAAGTTTTTACTAAAAAAAGTATATTAGAGAATGTTGTTGCAGTTACATAATCATAATAAAATGAATTTAGGAATTTAATTTCTATCTGACATCAGTATAAAATTTATACTGCCATGCTCAATTAATTAAAGTATATAATAAATATAATTTTAAGTAGTTAGTTATTGCAAAAGTTATTTTTTTTCATATATAACAATTGTATTGAATAACATTATACACAGTGATGTCCTCATATTTTAATACAAACATTCTGTAAAAAAAAAGAAACTTAATGTAGAAAAAAGTGTAAAGTATAACCGGATTGAATGAGATATGGTGGAGAAAGAAAGTGAGAATAAAAAAAAGTGATAGATATATTGAAGATACTATTGAATGAATAATATAATATAACTAAAATATGAAAGAGTTATACTATAATTTTTTATAATATTTTTTCATCTCTATTATATATATATATATATATATATATATATTATCTCACACTTTTTGTTTTCTTTCTTTATGATAAAAATAGCATACATATTTAATATATAAATATAATTTCTCAAAGTAATATATTATTATAGCAAAATATTAATATAATAAATATCAATAAATTATTGTTGTTATATTATTAATATCAATAATATAAATGGGAAGTTTAATTGCCGTGAACTTCCATATCTTAGTGAGAGAAATTCTACTGTTGCATCAATTTGGTGGAAGGATTTGTGTTAAAGCCAGTGGCTATAATAGTGGTTTCAGTTTTACTCTGGATTGAAGAGAAAGATAAGATATGGGAAAAGTTGTAAAATTTGGGAGGATGTTTGGTTAGGACTTGGGAAGAATTTGTCAAAACACTTAAAGGACTTGGGAAGAGCAAGTTTAATGGGGGCGTTTTCCTAGTTTTTTTTTAATTATTTTATCTGATAAAAATATACTGATTACAGATTTGGGCAAGTGGTCAGATATATATGGTGCTTAGATTTTCTCATTGAAATAAATTTGAGTGGGGTTTGGTCTCTTGACAAGCTGCGTCTTATACGCCTTAATCTAGCTAGATATATTTGATTCAATACAAATTTTCTCCTCAATCTGATTCAGTCTTTCACAAATTTGGCAGCATTTAAGACTCTTTTAGTTTGGAAGAGTATGAGTACTCCTTCCAAGGATATAGCATTTTATGGCCATTTTTAAATTGTGGATATACTAGACACGTTTCTCGAGAAATATAGTATAATATAATTTCAACTATTCAGCAACAAGCTTTTTGAAAATGGGCTAGTTGATGTTTGGTCTTGGGCTATCATATATTGGAATCCTTTTTGAAAATTATACTTTTGATGTCAGTAAGGAATTCATCTTAAAGAGGAAAGTGTTGAATTATGATCATTAAATAAAAAATCAGCTATTAATTAAATGATTAAATGCATGCACTTGTAGACTAAATTATATAGTTGTTTAAATTTCAATTATTGATTTTTCTATCAATGACTATAATTCTACATTTTTCTACCTAAAGTAATGACAAATTCTTCAATTTCAAATGTATGATGTGATTAAAGTTTAATCTATTCATGGTTTCCGTTCTGTTGCTAGTTGCTACATTAATCAACTCTCTCTCTCTCTCTACAATGGTGCATATCATATAATCATTCATGTGTATATTCATTGGAGTATTCTTTGTACTCTCAAGAATGAATTTTTTCCTTTTAATTAGAAATAATAAAATAAATAACGCCTTTAATGGCCTGTTTGGTGAATGGACATATAGTTTAGGATTTTAATTTTGTTTAGTAAAATTGGAATTACTTTGTAACTATAATTTTTGGGTTTCGAAAACAGTTCAAGCATAGAATTATAATTCTGAAGAGAATTTCAATTTTATTTGATTACCTTTAATTAAGGATTGTCATATATGAGGTAATGTTAGCTCTCAATAAACTATTGACGAGAGTAGTGGTAGAAATAAAAAAAGGGGGTAATAATAGTAAATGTGAAAAAAATAATAATGATAACAATGATAGTGTATTAATAACAATCATAATGATGGAGTATGAGATATAGAGTAGTTTACAATGCAAGAAAGTGGTTAAGAATTATGATTAGGAAGGACTTGGTAATCAAAAAGGTATTAATTAAGTTTAATTTTATTATAAATATATAAAAATATGCATTAAAATTATGATTTCATATATTTATTTTTCCTACAATGGATTTTGGGTTTGG